TTATCCATGCTGAACTTAATACTGAATATAGGAAAAAGTCAACAATATCTTACAATCTCTTCTAGTGTACCAAGCATGCAAATTCCTTGAGGAGGGGACAGTCCCCGTTCTGTTCAGTGCTTGGAAACTGCTTATTAATAGTGGATGGAAATGGGTGGCTTGAACCTCTACATTAATTCATAAGGGAGTGAACTGGGGAGCTCTCCTTTTCTCTTCACTTGAAAGTTCAACTTGCTAATAAATCCTCTAACACTTTGTCAGCTGACATAATGAATTGCCTTCCCTTATAAATATAAAATTACTCGTTTAAGCTGTTTAAGCTTGCCACTGGCATCTCTTGCAAAACTGGACACCCTTAATACATCTTCCCCTTCATTTGTGCGCTCGCTCTCTCTCTCTCTCTCTCTCTCTCTCTCACACACACACACACTAAAGTAGCCTGCAATAGGCCACATGAGTTCATTATCTTCCTCTTCTGCCAACCTTGGGAATGATGGACACCATGAGGTCTGCAAGTAACCACTGTCTTTGCTGTGAATATTTTTGATGGCTAGTTGCACCTTTTAAGGAATTGGAAGGATAGACTGAGCATTTCACTTCCTTAGTTTCTAAATATGAGTCCCCAGGAGGTTATTCTCTCAATGTGGAATCTTTCTGGGAGCAGCTGTGGTCATTTACAACAGAGAGAAACACCCTGCATGCTTCTCAAATACCAAAAGAGAAAATATATTTATTACAGCTGCTTTGAGTGATGCTGTCCAGACTTCTTGCCCCCATTCACCAGATCAGGGGTCAGCAAACCTTTTCAGCAAGGGGCTGGTCCACTGTCCCTCAGACCTTGTAGGGGGATGGACTATATATTTTTTTGGGGGGGAATGAACGACTTCCTATGCCCCACAAATAACCCAGAGATGCATTTTAAATAAAAGAGCACATTCTACTCATGTAAAAATACGCTGATTTCTGGACCATCTGTGGGCCGCATTTAGAAGGCGATTGGGCCAGATCTGGGCCCCGGGCCTTACTTTGCCTACCCATGCTCCAGATGCTATATCTAGTAACGTAGTTGGGACTTTCCTAGCTTTTCCTTTTTCTTCCCACAGCCAGCAGGATGTTGGGTGAAACAGTGTTTTTCTGGTGATTGCTTTAGGATATGTGCAAAAGTAAAACACAGAAGCAAAAAACGTAAAACCAACAAAACATGATGTGTTTGTGCACAGATTGGTGAGAAATTAATGTAGAAATAATTGCTCATTGTGATTCATCTTGATTCTTCCCTACTCCTGTTGTGATATTTAGGAACCCAGTGCTTGTGTAGAAGCACAATTGCATACGCTTACTTCCCGCCACCCCTCAGTGGTTTCTCTACTCTCCCTACTTTCTCAGGGAGCAAGTTCTTGGAGAAAACCAAATCTCCCCTACCATTTAACTGTAGAAAATGGGGTAAGCCCCCCCCCATGGTTGCCATGTAACCACCGTTGCCATGGTACCCTATACGTTCCACACCTTTCCTGCTGGTCCTTTGTGCTAGTACACAAAGTTCTGTAGGTCAACTGGCATTATGCTTGCAAAAAAGAAAAGAATTAAAATTGACTCTAAAGGACAACTCTGACACGGTCAATTAATAATTAAAACAGTTTTTTAATGAGCTCTGCAATTACCTGTGTGTCCCTGGAGATGATAGTTTATGGGACTATAGCAGCGTGCCCTTTCTTTCGTCATGGCGTGTGACATCTGTAATTTAAAGCAGGCTAGGCATTAAAGTGACAGAACTTTCATTAACCTTGTCTAAAGTTTGCTAGTGACAAATGCCTCTCAAAAGCGCTATTGTCAAAACATGCGGAGTTAAATTGAAAAGGGAGGCTTTCTACAAGATGGAGACTCATTCCTTCCCCTGACAAATGTACATGAATAGCTTTAATTATCAATGAGTGATACATTCTCTACACAAAACTTGGTTCAGATGTACAAGTGGCTTTTTGCACCTTGACTGTGGAGCTTGCAAAAAACTGAGCTGGCGAGGTGGTGATACCTTTTGTTTGACCAACTTCCTTTTGACATAGTAAGTCCATGATGTGCATGGAAGCAGCACATGCGATTAGGCATGTGCCTTGTCACAGAGGCATTTAGGCTAATTTTCCTTGGATCATTAGAAATGTAAATTGCCACAAGAAGTAGCTCCCAAGATCATAAAACATGGAGATCAGGTAACACCAAGACTTCCTTGCGGGTCTCTTTCTTGTAGCCCCAAATGACAGCTGGAAATAATCAATATTCTACTCAGGGTAAAAACTAAACTGCTCAGATGCATGAGAATATCCTTGCTACCCTGATTGTTGAAGTGGAATGAATGGTATGAGATGTAGCAGATGGAATATTATATTCTCCTGGACAGTGGTAGCTTCTCCATTTCCATCTATCCAGTCTTGGCCATGGACAGTCAGAGCATTTTATGCAAGATACCTTTAACAACAAATGGGGTTTGGTGTGTGTGCCTGCAAGCAAGATGAAGCACTCCATATTTGTGGGCAAATTGGGAGCCATTCTATTCCGTTCTTTTCTAAACTATTGGGAATTGTTTGCTGCTAGCAGCTTCCTGCTGACACATTCTGAAAACCTGATGGAACTTAAAACTTCTCTACCTCAGTTGTGTCTGCAATTTGAGGCAATGAGAAGTTAATTTACTTTTCACTGGAGTCTGGATTAGAAAGCAAAAAAATTATCTGCAAAATCGTCAACAGGAAGGGGATGAACAGTGGTAAAGTCTGTTTGGGGAGTTTCATTTGCAAGGAAACCGTTGCAAAAAAGGCTACATCTGATCTTAATATCTTAGTATTGGATGTCAGGCAGTTGGGAAATTAATAATCAGGCTAGAGCATGGGTAGGCAAACTAAAGTCTGGGGGCCAGATCCAGCCCAATCGCCTTCTAAATCCAGCCTGCGGGCAGTCTGGGAATCAGCGTGTTTTTACATGAGTAGAATGTGTCCTTTTATTTAAAATGCACCTCTGGGGTATTTGTGGAGAATAGGAATTTGTTCCTCCCCCCTCCTCCCAAAAAATACAGTCCGCCCCCCCCCCACAAGGTCTGAGGGACAGTAGACCGGCCCCCTGCTGAAAAGTTTGCTGACCCCTGGGCTAGAGTCTTTCCCCCCTCTAACCTCAATAAAGCAGTAGCAAAAGGTTCATGTGTGTTTGCTTGTAAAATAGACTCCCAGGAGGTGAACTGTGTTCGGTGTGTAATGCTACCAACTTAATTCCTGCATGTTTGCTTAGTTTCTTTTTGGAGAGTTGAACACACGGCATTTAAAAATATATAAAATAGTACTTTTGGGGGAGCAAGCTCTTGCAAATATAGCAGCAGATTTGTATTCATGTGAATGAACCTGCATTTCTTTTGATTGCGTGAAATGCTCTTTCCCTTTTAAAAATGTACAGTGAATAAATGTGGGTGACTGAGAATCTTAAAAAAACCCCCACTCTGTTCTCTTCTATGTGTTGTTTCAAATGGGATTTTAGAAACTCACTTTTCCTCAAGAATGTACTAATCCTTTCCTTGGGGCAAGTAAGTATTCCTTATGGAGCCTTGCATGGCTTTAGTATAAGTAAACTGACTCATCTTCTTTTAATATTCCCTTCGTTTTGCCTGAGGACTTGAAATGTAGACAGTTCAACAAAAGGTGTGTGTGGATTGATAGGGGTTATCCTCTTGTTGACTGCAGCTTTCCAGAAAGATTGTGGTATTAGCAGTAACTCTGTTCTTCTCTTAAGTTGGCTACTCTGGGATTGGCTTTGGAGATTTCTCTGTAATGTTGAACTAAGCTGGACCTTTCTCAAGGTGCCATTAATATACTAGTTATAATTAAACATTGAGTTTGGAACTCTGGGGAATCTACTAGTTCTCCTGATTCCATGTGGTAGGCTTTACAGCTCATTTTTGTTTTAATGGGAATGTTTGAGGCTGTAACTTCAGTACTCATTCAGATTTTAAAAAGCTTGCTTTCTATGCATACACAAATAGTTTGAATAAATTACAAGTGAGTTCAGTGTGTGAGTGTGTGTGTGAGAGAGAGGGAGAGAGAGACTTGAACCTGGATCATTTGAAACTTTAGGCTGATGCTTTCAGCTTGTAACAAATTTAGGGATCCAGGAGACTCCTCATGCCAGTGAGCCATTATCTAAGCTTCATCGTCTCCGATTATGAGCCTGCAACTCATCTTAGGCCATAGATGAGATAATCATCTGGCTAGTGTGTCAACATTCTGGTTCTGAATTTTTGCTGCTACTGCAGACTGCAGGGTCAAGACCCTATGGGGTACCACCTTCTTCTTCTTCTTCTTCTTCTTCTCAGCATTATCTCTTTAAATTCCACCATTGTTTTTGCCTCTGATTTACTTGACAGAGATCCCAGTCTCAAACCTACAATTGAGCAACCTTGTTCAGCCAGCCAGCTATAATGCTGTGTTGCTGGTAGTAATCCTCCCAGGTGGTTTGGGTGTCTGGTTCCTTGTTTGACCTAATGGTTATGTGTGCTGTCAAAGCCTTTTACTTTTGCTATTCTCAGTGAGGGTAAGGGAGAATTGGTGCTTCCCCACCTGTCTGTGAATGTGTCCCCAAAAGAGGTTGGTACCAATAACTGAGAAGATATCGCTGTTGGTGAAATAAGAGGGCAGATAATGCCCTTGTTCCAGTCCATTCAGGAGTAGTTTGTTAGTTGTAGCATAATGTGGTAGAGTACAGATGTCGCCCAGCTGCCCTTTGTTACTTCCATTGAGGGATACATTGGAAGGCATGTTCAGATGCACTTCCCCAGCCATGTTCTGCTGCAGCTGAAGAAGCTGCCTGAAAATGGCACAGAGGCAGATATTTGCACCTGGCCGCAAACAGCTGCAAAAAGATCTGAAACCACAAAAACCTTGAAAGCCTGCTTTCAGTGTTTTGAATTTCAAAATTTAATAGAATTGTAGAGTTGGAAGGGACTCGTGAGGATCATCTAGTCCAGCTGCCCCATACAGGGATTAAACCTGCAACCATGGCGCACCACACTCTAACCAACTCAGCTATCCAGGCTGCATTTAGTGGAGCATTGGGTGAAATGAGTGCTGTAGATGAACTTTAGTGAACCCCGGCCTTTTAGTGATGGTGGCCCTCCAAATGTAAGAGGTCACATGCACACCATATATTTTAAAGGACTTTTCTACTATTTAAAGCTCTCTTCTGCCACTGGCGCCATCATGGCTTCTCCAAAGAATTTTGGGATCTGCCATTTAAGGGTGCTAACTTCACAGACCTACAGTTCCCAGAACCCTTCACAAAATGCAGTGTCCAGTATTCTCCATGACTACTATAAGAATGTTTTAAATGTACAGTGTAGCTGTGACCTAAGTGTAATATTCCATTCCATCTTTCTTTTGTTGGTGATCTTCATTCATATTCTTGCCGCATTCAAATATAAATAGGAAGTGGAATGACATTTAGAAGTTAAATGTGCTTGTCAAACCTCAAATAACTCAGTGCACGGATACAAGAAAAAAGTGTTGTTCCTTCAGTCTTGCCTATTTAGAACGTTGAGATCTGCACAGGGATGTAGTTTCCCAGGCCTATAAAGTACCACTAGAAATATCATTGCAGTAACTTTATTATTTTCTGCATCATCCCTAGATTCTGAACATAAAACTTTCACAATCCATGAAACTACAGTAGGAAAAGCAAATGATCTGTGCCAATAAAATACTAAGCAGTTACTCCACTCAAAACAAAAACACATCTGTTAAATTGTTTCTCTACTACAACACTCCAGTTCCTGAAATGCCCCACTGGGCAAAGTAATCCCTGGGCTTCACCCCCTGGAAATGTTTATTTAGGCTACTTGTAATATGGAAGGACCTACATGCGAATCTCTACCAGCAGACATTTTCAGGAAAAACATTCCAGTACAGCAGTTACTCCTGACAGGCACAATCTGCTAGTTGTTAACATTCTCCCAAGTCCTTTTGAAACCAATCCAATATTTAACCCCACCTCTTTTTTTATGAGGTGGTATCTCTTAACATGTTGGTGTATAACACGACTGGTGTATTGAAGATGCATGGACGGTATTGTGTTGTTGAGGATAGTAAGTCATTCTCATCCTCTGATCTGGATTAGAATTCTTCATAGCCCCTTGACTTGCATTTTTTAAAAAAATCCTGCTGTTCCCCCTGAATCTACCGTAGTTGATGGGGAATGACTATACACACACTTGCCTGTACGGTCACAGGAATGAGTCAGCTGCTTTAGAGTGGCACATTCCCATTTATGCTGCTGTTTTTATTAATTAAAGATAATGAAACAGACCCTTAGCTGTGCTATTAGACAGCTTCATAGAAGAAAGATGGTGGTAAATATGTTCTGCCTCTCAGGACATACCTGGGGTAGGTTCCATTAATCCTCTGACCTTTCCCCCTTGAGTTGCTCTGCAGCAGTTGCCTCAAAGTAGAAAGATCCATCTCTCTCTCTCTCTCTCTCTCTCTCTCTCTTTTTCTCTCTCCATTTATTTCCTATGTTTTCTTCAAGGAGCTCAAGGTGGTGTACATTTTTCTCCCCCACCCCTGTGTTATTCTCCTAACTACCCTGTGAGGTGGTTTAGGCTGAGAGACCATGACTGGCCCAAGGTCACACCCAGTGAGCTTCATGACTAAGCAAGGATTTGAATCCTCATCTCCCAGGTGCTAGCCCAACACTCTAACCACTGCACCACACTGGCCGTCATTTGAACCTCTTTCATCGCATGGATTTGGTGCTGATCAACATGTTCTGAGTCAGCCTTCACCGGCAAGATGTTCTTGACTTCCTGAACGTCCTCTGTGCAGTATGCCTTGGCAAGAAAGGCTCTCTTAAGAGGGTGTAATGCCAAGAAAGAGGATTTGTGGGTCAGTGCAGTTTTTCCTTAAGTTGTTCCCAAAGTTGTTCAGTGTAACCGTAACCCACTGGTCAAGCCGCTTCCAACATTCCGCTCTGCAGGACTACCCACACCATAGCTCACATTGGAACACAACTCTCCTCTGACAACAGCAGACTATGAGACCCCGAGAAAGCTTGGTCTTAGTTCAGAGATGTAACACCGCTTGAGCAACCCTGGGATTTGTCTTAGGAGGGGCCAAGTGTGCATGCCCATCATGAGACAGCAATTCCCCTCCATCCTGACTAGTTTGTCATTTCGTTAGAACTGGTACTACAGGAGTCACAATATGTCAGGATAAGCCGTGTGTGGATGTGTGTGTGTGTGTGTACACACACACACACATTTAATAAAAGGTGGATCTTGTATAGCAATTCCCACATCATATGCTAATAGAACCAATTATTGTGGCTCTAAAAGTTTGCCACCTATTTGAAAATGCGAGGAGTTTCTTTGATAATGTCAGTGTGCATCATTAATAATTGAAAATTATGCTGTAGTGTAATAAACACCCACTCAGAAAGACAGTTGTGCTGATGTTAGTGTATAGGCAATATAGATCAAGTAGGCACATTTTTCATACATAATGAACAGCTCAGTGGAATGGTTTCACTTTGAAGGCATTTGGGTGCCCCTGGCTTTGCTTGCAGGAAACACAGGCTACATACTTATGTCTACACTAGTATTTGCTTTTTGTGCATGTTTTTCTCTTTTTGGACAACGCAAGGATATTTGAAGTAATGAGTTGCGGGGTGTGTGTGTGTGTGAGAGAGAGAGAGAGAGAGAGAGAGAGAGAGAGAGTGTGTCTTTTGGTTTGCAATATAATTGCAGTGGTGTGAAAAATGACAGCCTTTACTCACTTGTATAAGTAGCATATCCAAAGCAGGTTTTTATGTCAGTTCCTATAATAAGAGCCTCTGGACATTTTCATAGAATCATAGTCTGAAGATGCCAAGTTGGCAATCTGTTCCAACCCCCACATCCTTACAGGCAGGAAAGATCTCTGTCCTGGCCACTTTTGGACTACCTTAGGAGGAAGATTCTGCTGCTTCACTTAGCCCTTTTATTTTCAGTTCCATTTTCAGAATTTCCAGAATTATTGGATGAAAGAGCAGGAAAGGAAGCCTTAACAATCTCACCCTTTTCAGTGTGTAAAGGGGAAACGCCACATATATCCTTTAAGAGCCATTTACTCAAGGGCAAATGTTTTGTGTGAGTGAGTATTCTAGTCTCAGCTAGAAGACATTGTGAGGATTTTCACGAGCTTTTAAATAAAATGGACTTGTATCTAAAGTGTGCTGGGAGTTGTTCAGCCACCAGGCTACCAGTTGTTTTGTATTTTTGCTAAAGATAAACTTTTAGGCTTGTGTCACAGTCTGTGTAAAAGGCCATTTGCTACCTCCCTTTTTACTATTAGGCCATTGTTAACAACAATGTACAAAGGAACTTTCCTTTCCTTTGTGAAACGTTTTAAGCTCCATCCTTGTCCATTTTGAAGGGGCAAATTATAAACTGGGAGTGTGTGTGGTGGCAGTGAGGAGACAAGCTCTCTTCAGAAATTATATTCACAATGGAGCAGTTTTGGTTTTTTTTGTATGAATAAGACTGACAAGGACACTTCTAGCCCAATATGCAACAATTTGGTAAAATAATTAATTATTCATGTGTCTGGGGAATGAAGTCCTTAAATCTTGATTAATATAACAACAGTGATTGTCTTTGATATAAGACCCACAATGAGAGAGGATATTTTCAGCTAGCTCAGCTGTCATGCCACTGTAGTTGTCTGTCCTTTCTCTGGCCCAAAGATTGTTGATGTTTCTGTCTTAGACATGGAAATAACTGTTGTACTTAATAAAATAAACTAGAAGAAGTAGGAGAAAAAAATTAAAGGAATTGTAGCAGAGTGCCTAAACCATGATTTGTACAAAGCATCCTGGAGTAAATGGGGAGGTGCCAACTTGCCTTTTGGCTATAAAATGCCATCCAGCTGGTACCACTCTCGAGTTGCAACTAGATATTAGTCATCTTGAGCAGTTGAGCTCATATTTTAAAGGGGAATAAAATAGGAAATAATTGGCTTTTAAATAAAGACAGGTACTTGGTGCCTGTAAAGAGATCCGGGTATCTGGTGTCTATCTAATATCTGATTATTGCAGCAGCTCAAGGTTTTTCATAACTGGAAAAATGTTAAATGCTGCACTTCCAAGACTTATTGGGGAAAATAGCAGGAGAAACAAGGTTAAATAGAATCTCACACCTTTCACTACGCAACTCATTATTCATTGCTAATAGAAGCCTGAACCATCTGTCTCAGCAAGGAGGATTTATATGCAACGTGTGTATTAGATATAGCTAAAAAAAAAAAAAATCATTCTCTTCAGTCAAATGTTTATTTATGGCTTGTTCTGCAGTTGCTGTCCTGGAGCTTCATGCGGCTCTTTGGCAATGTCATGAATGAAGCCACTTCCCTGCTGCTGAAAGCAACTCAGATAGCTGCTGTGGTAATCTGAGGTTTGTAGAAGCTGCAAATGATCAACCTGAGCCCCAAAATACTTGGGCTGATGCTGGTCCAGGCCTTGTTTTTGCTAGCTGATTATCAATTGCCAGTTATGGGATGCAGCTGTTTCTGTTAAGTTGTGCTTTCAGTGGTTCTGCAGCTCATAGGCTTGCTAGACACATAGTCGTGCTCATGCTACATTGGCATGTAGTATCAGGCACAGATGCAGCTTTCAAGAGTGGTGCCTTTCCCCCCAAAAGCAGCCTAAGAATCCAAAAAAGATTGACTATTGGTGATACTTTGATACCTGATGCTTTGGATCAACAATTCTAGTTAATACTTGACAGCTTTATTTCTGCACTCGGTTCTTGATTCTCATGTCATGGTGCAGCCTGACCCAGACAAAAATATGTCTTAACAACCCTGAAATCAGGGCTTGCTAGAAGGGCATAGGCTTTTATAGAATCTACCAACATCACCACCAGAAACAGTCTGAGGAAGTTTTCTTTTGTGTCTTAGATGCTCAGAAGTGTGCCTTGGATTGCAGTAAGCTGTATGTGCAACTGATCCCCAGAAAGACCCTATGGGAGTAGACACATGCTGAATCCTTCACACCCAAGACTTGGATAT